CTACTCGGAGGTCCTTGTGGGCCGGCTAGCAGCTCTCTGATTCGCCGACGGGTCTGGAAGTCCGGTTCTCAGTGGGTTCCATGCGGCTCTCTGCATCCACTGGGCACCCAAGTCACATGAATAAGGACTGAACTTTTTCCAGTCAGATCAAAACTTTCCCCCTTATATTTCAAAAGAAGGCAACAGGGCTTCTGGGCGTGGGCCCTGTTGGCTTCTGGGAAATGTAGTCGTTATGAGCAGGAATACAGTGTAGGCTTATTGTTGGAGAACTACAAACTGGCATCGGCTGTCCTAAGTATTTAATTTTTTCGTTAACTTTTTACTTTACAGTATCCTGTACTGTCCCAGTCACGTAATATTAAAGTTAACAATCGTGTCATGTACAATTTTTATTTATTTTTTCCGTGTCCAATCGTGCTTTGAAAAACTATGAAAAAGCGAGTCCTCGAAGGTCGAACCATGAAGTAGGGAGGTAATACTGTACCATTTTTCTCTGCCGGTTGCCGTAGCACCAAGAAATCCCTTTGTATAATTGCGAAGCTTGGGGATTGCCCTTTTTAAATATAAGGCTGGAACTCCTGATGACATCACTCCAGTTCAATATAAAAAGTGAGTTTTCAAACTGACACTGATATAAAAAGAACTAGTTTTGTTTCCAGGTGACAAATCACCAAATTTAAACAAACTACAGATCATTTTGAAGCTTTTGAGATGATGATGGACAGAATCACGAGCTCCAGTAATCTGCTTGTTTTATCATATTTTTTTATTCAGATTTTTGTGCTGACTATTATTTTATTTTTTACTGGGTCTGACGTTAGAGGAGCTTTCTGCTTTGTTTTTATTAACAGGAAACTCCAGATTTTATTTTTGAATTCAATACAATAAATCAAAATGCTCCAGTCAAATTTTAAAGATTGAACCTTCCACTTTTAATAGCTCCTAACACCGCACATTTTATCAGCCCGAGTCGTCGTAAAAGTCACGGCCCATTTGTGTGCCTCTGTGAGGAAGCCCTTGAGACGATCTGTTTTAATGTGAAAACCACAGACTTCTCCCCCCAAAGGCTTGGAAATGCTCAGCCAAAACCTGGAACTGGTACAGAACCAAACACATGCTGGATCAATTAGCTTCTGAGGCCGCAGAGAAACAAAGTTTATTGAAAGCATGGGTAGGAAAAGTGACGTCCTCTCCCATGTTTGACTCAAAAACATGTTCTCCTTTAAAACGTGGAGTGTTTTTCTTCAAAAGACAAACCCACAGGTCAACATTTTAGATAAAATTTACGAGGTGTATTTAAACGCATTGTAAAGTCAAATACTGGAATGTACAGGATGTGCCTTGAACACACCACCACGCAAACATCTTTATCATGTTTAAAAGTAAACAAAAAAACAAACGACTAACTATGTTCCTTCAAATATTAGATTCAAAGTGACAACTTTACAGAGGATAACAGATTATCAGACAGACTGTTATCCTATATTTTTAATTTGGTTTGTAAAATGACATCAGTGCGGTGTATTACAATCAGCTGCAGTTTTATTTAAAATAAAACGTGTGAAAATCCCAGTAGACAGTTTCTGAAACTGCAAGGCTACAACTGACCCTAGTAGAACCACTCCCGGGACACTGACACCATCGTGAAGTATCTGTTAAAATATAAAGTATTTACCGCTAATCGTTCAGGTCTGTAGGTCAGATTATTCTTCAATAATTTGTCAATTAATAAATCTGTGTATGATGAGACTGTAACTGTAAACTTATTAGTGATTTTGTTCAGTCTGAACAGGATCAGTTCAGCTTTATCATCAGTCGGTTGCACAAGGATGCAGTTGCCATGGCAACATAAGCGGCCGTAACGCAGCAGTTTTAGCAGCTTTCCTGCTACGTTCTTATTGTGGGCATAAAAAAATGGCTTCCTCCACAGTTCAGGGCAGTTAAGTGGTTGTAAATCTTTAAATTTTGTACCTCAGGTGTGACATTTTTGGTAATATGATGCAAGGAACCATTTGAAGGGAAAGTCGCACACTTGAGGTTTGATTTTCTAAAGCTTGGTGAAAGTGGTTCTGGTTTTAAATGCATTGGTTCTGGGTTGTGGCTAACTGACAAGTTATCGACATACATGAGTAGGTCATCGGCACAAGACAAACCTGATTAAAAAAGAAAATATGAAAAAAATCTTGTATTACTTAAAGTTGAGATGTCCCAATAATTTTTTTTCCTGAGTACAAGTACTTCAGTTTGGGTACTTGTTAATGAGTTGGTTTCTAAACATTACACCATAACTTTAGAATCAAATTTTTTAAAATTCAGAACACAGCAGACAGCCTGCAGCTTTAACATCTCCTTTATTTATTATAAAATATCTCAGAACTATAGACTTTTTGTTCGTTGTTCACTTTAAAGAAGAAATGACGTCACAAAGCATAAACATTGTATCAATCTGGAGTATTGGGGTGTTTCTGAGTACATGTACAAGCACTGGAGGCTGCTACCACTATGTTAAAGGAATTGCTGCTGACTTCTCTTAATCTGCTGTATTCATACCCATCTGCTCACAACAGACTCATGTTCAAGCTGCTGTTTAATACACCATTATATTACATTATTATTGTTTAGCGTATATCTTACATCCTTGTATACGGTTTCTTTTTTAAACTATATATTTTTGCAATTTTGGGTGTAACAGGAACCTTGAGTACACAATTTCGTTCCACCTCATGTACCACATGTGATGCGAATAAGTCGCCTTAAAGGAATGCATGTCACCCGCTGCATTTCATGCCAGATTCAGAGACTGAACTCTTGTTGAGGAAAGATTGATTTGCAGGCATTTTTGTCGTTCTTTGCACGTATCATTTCCAGTCTCATGCGATATCACAAGATGTCCTGATCAGAGTGTTGTGTATGACTGTCAGATACTACCACACCAACATTTTAAACTGACTGAGTTGTGGCCGTTTCCCGTCTTCGATGGTTCTTGGGGCAGTTTGCTAACAGACGAGGATGCAAGAAGGAATTTTCCCTCAATAAAAAAAACATCAAGGTTTGAAATGAATTTACATTTAAAACGGTTTTAAAATGAATATTCTGAGCATAGTTTTGTGTCTGTTGACGTTGGTTTTTTGTCGCTGTGAAATATTTCAGGCAACAACAAGCTGTGCATGTCTGAGTGTGTGTTTGCGCTGGAGGGAGGGAGTCAATCATAACAGCAGAAATCAGCCCTGCAGGCGATCCGTCTCCGCTCATGACAAGCCTCCCGAGGCGCTCATCTTTCCTTCTCTGACTCACCCCCATCCATCCATCCCTCCGTCGACTCACCCGTCCTCCCTCCCACAGTTTGTCTCGTGCCCTGGCATCACAATTATCTCCAATCATCGGAGGGTGTAATGAGAGTCAGAGTTGGGATGAAGCATGTTAACATGCTTTTTTAAAAATTTTTAGAGAGGAATCGTCGCCTCACTCCTTGTTTTATTTCTCATCCGTCCATTCCTCCCTCAGTCTGTTCGAATCGTCTTCTCTTTCTCCTTGAAGAGAAGCGTTGCTGAACATGTAGAGAAGCTGCAGGTTTTTTATTTCTTTACCTCCCCGGTTCAGAGAGCTGTCAACTGTGACCGCCGTTGAAAGGATGTCAGGGAGAAGGAGTGGGGAGGGGGTCCCTGCCGGGGGGTGATGGCATGCTTGTTTCTTTGTGCTCCTGCAAATGTAGCAGCAGCCGTGGAGACGGGAGGCGATGAAGAGAACAGCTGGGGGTGAAGAAGCAGTACGGAGAAGGGGCCAAAGCAGCTAATTAACTGCTACAGCCGCTCAATAACAGGGACATAATTGGTTCTTATTAGTGGGGGAGGGGGTAATAAACCGTTTCAGTGTCAACATTGTAACTACAGAATGGCAATTAGTGGAAATGTGTGTGCTTTTATATTTTAGTTTGCAGATGCACTGCTCCTCTACAGCGCATTAACTTCATGAGACAACCCAATCAAGATGAACACTCCAGCCAGACACCATTAAAAAAACACCAAAATGTTCATAACTTAGTGTTACAGATACTGAGCTAATATTTGCTGTGGTAGTAGCTGAGAGTCATTGACAACACCTTGTTTTTGCATAATGTAATTTTTTAAGGTTTGGCGGAAACGTTTCCAACATTATTTCTCAACAAACTATCATCTTGGTGTAAAACTCTGGCCTGACGGGGCGGGCGATATGCATTCCTTCAAGAAAAGCTAGGAAACCAATGGGTTCTGATAAGTTCTGTGCTGGCAGGTGGAGGAAAGATGTCCATCTGCTGGTTTTGGTTTTGCTTGGTCTTATATAGACTCCCAGACTCATCATAGACCCATCAGTCTGCGGAGTCGGGTTCTGTTTTCACAGCGACGAGGCTCAGATGGCAGATTGGACCTCCTTTCGTACAAACCAACATGTCACTGTTTCTTTTTGTCTGCATCACTTCTGGTACAAACTGAAAGTGGAAAAGATTTTCAAATTTTTATGCGCAATGGACAAAGCTGCGTTTTTAATTAAAGTCAAACCTTTTTGTCCACTTGTTTGCCCTGAGTACGAGGCCCATCATTCTCCTTGTTGCCTGGATTTCCACGCTGTTGACTGAAGCTCCCCGGCGAGATTTGACGCGTTGAATCCATTTCACCAAACAAATTGGTGTCAAACCGCTCGCCACCTCTCCTAGCAGCTAATCAATGGGGAGTGCGCGGTGCGAGCGGGTGTCACTTCTCCATCTGCGAGCCGCGCTTTGCAGAACCAAGCTGCCAACCATCTGACAATTATCAGCCACTCGCTGTTTTCAGCGCTCACATTTGTCACACAGAAACTTGTGTGCTTGCCAGAATCAGACAAACAGCCTGTTAACGTCGCCTGCGTCAGTCGGAAAGCATATGCAGGACATTTGGGAGGTTTGTGGAAATAAAGCGATCAAGAATGATGAGCATTAATGGTTTTATTCTACTGACTGGTTCTGATTGCTCGGCTTTTTGTTTCAGAGTTGAACCAGACACAGAGATGACCCTGGTTTTATCAATGAATCCTCTCCTGGACTCAGAGGGAGACCCTCCCCCCGTCTGGGACTCAGAACGCCGCAGGAAGACGTGCCTGTCCGACCCGGACCCAGCATGCAGCTCAGAACAGCAGTTTACACAAGGTGCACAGACTTTATTTAAGCTCCCCTAAATGCAGGCGTAATGAGTTACAGCTGAAGTTTTTAAGACCATATTTGACCCGTTTCGCTGATCCTGAAGGTGAAATGAGCTGAGCGAGCAGAACTTTCCACATCAAGGCTGCAGGAGGAGACTTTATGGCCTAAGAGTTGGCTAAAAACACGACTGCAGGCAACAGTTTCTTGTCTTAAATCTTATCTAGAACTGAACTGTTAAAACAGAGCTACATTTAGCAATACTGTAGCTGAAAGCTAAAATTAACACAAGTAGCTGAAAGCTAACAAGGGCAAAACGGTAGCTGAAAGCAAATGAGGGCAAAACGGTAGCTGAAAGCTAATGAGAGCAAAACGGTAGTTGAAAGCGTACGAGGGCAAAACGGTAGCTGAAAGCGTACAAGGGCAAAACGGTAGCTGAAAGCTAATGAGGGCAAAACGGTAGCTGAAAGCAAACGAGGGCAAAACGGTAGCTGAAAGCAAACAAGGGCAAAACGGTAGCTGAATGCTTACTTTGGCAAAACTGTAGCTGAAAGCTAACGAGAGCAAAACTTTGCTGAATTTTTTATTTATTTATTTTTTCATTTAGCCTTTATTTATCCAGGTTAGTCTCATTGAGCCACGAGAACTCATTTTCAAGAGAGACCTGTTTTTTTTTAGTTTTTTTTTTAGGGAGCACATGGTGGGGGTTAAGGGCCTTGCTCATGGGCCCAGAGTGGGACGAATGAGGGTGGGGGCAAGTGTGGGTGTTTCACCTACCCCACCCACAATTTTTGATGTTGTTGGGGCCGGGGCGTGAACCGGCGATCTTCGGATCACAAGCCCACCTCTCTAACCTCTGCGCCACCACTCCCCAAAAGTGAATGCTTACTTCGGCAAAACGGTAGCTGAAAGCTAATGAGGGCAAAACGGTAGCTGAAAGCTAACGAGGGCAAAACGGTGGCTGAAAGCGAACAATGGCAAAACGGTAGCTGAATGCTAATGAGGGCAAAATGGTAGCTGAAAGCGTACGAGGGCAAAACTTTGCTGAATGCTTACTTCGGCAAAATGGTAGCTGAAAGCTAACGAGAGCAAAACTTTGCTGAATGCTTACTTCGGCAAAACGGTAGCTGAAAGCTAACGAGTAAAACGGTAGCTGAAAGCTAACGAGAGCAAAACTGTGCTGAAAACTAATTAAAACTAGTTGAAATCTAACAAGGGCAACACTGTAGCTGAAGGTTTAAAAATGGTCAAATCAAAGTTTAAAGCAGAACTGTAGCTAGAAGCTAAATTATAAATAAATTAGAAAATTGCTATTTTGCTGTGTAACTGGGACCCTGAGTCCATAATTTCGTTCCACCTCATGTACATGAATGACGATAAACTTAACTTGAACTTGAAATAGTCACAGCTAACAGCTAAACTGTAGCTGCAAGCTTAAAATTGAAAAACTGTAGCCAAGCCAAGTACTGTCGAACCAAAACAAATCCATAGCTGAAAGCTAAAATTAACAACTTGTATCTGAAAGCAACACAAGATGGCAAAGATCCACGTTTGTTCAAGTAGATTTGACTGAACATTTTGAAGGAATTTAAAATATTTCACAGTATTTTTTTGTAAAACTAAGATAATTTTTTAAAAAGTACAAAAGTTACAAATACTAGAATTCTTAGCGCAGTATTCCCAACCAAACTCAATATTTTGATACATCAATGATTAAAATACACAAAGTATTTAATGGTAGTAGGAGTTTGTTTAGCATTAATTGTATGAATGCTGACTCATCATTTTCTGTGTACATCACATTAGTTCTTTCGTCTAGTTTTCAATATCAGTCAGCGGTTTTATCATCCAGTTTCATTTGTGGCCTAACTCATCATCAAATTTCAGAATCAGCGATCATTTAAAAAAAAAAACTTAATGGAGCACGTTGTCCATCCCTGATTTGACCCATTTTTACTTCTGACTTCATATTTTATTGTCATCTTTTATATTTTATCAGACACCTGGTCTTTGTGCACATATGTTATTATGTTAATATTTAAATTTGAACAACTCAACAGATTTATGGTTCTGTTTGTTCTCCCTGCAGAACCTCCCTTTAGACGAATTCCAGATCATGTTTCTGTGTCAAAGGTCGCTTATTTCAAGAGGAAGTTTGTCGATGATGATGAAGAACCTCGCTTCAGCTTCAGATCTTATTGCCAGACTGTAAGTAAAGAACATTTAGAGGAACTCGGGGTCCACGTTTCAGTTGTTTGTGTAAACTGTTGCTGATCATCAAAGTGTTTCACAGATGATGTAATGGTTATCTAAAGCAGATTTATGCATGCATCTCATGTCGTTTATTTATGACCCGGTTACAAACAGGTGGATGTTTCATGCTGTCCTCAGGTCTCTCCGGTTCTGGAGGAGCGAACTCACGTGCTGCGCCTCTCCCTGGAGAAGATGCGGTTCATCGACGACCCCGAAGCGTTCCTCCGCCGCTCCGTCCTCGTCAACAACCTTCTCCGGCGTCTGCGAGCAGAGATCCTGTTGCAGAGCTCCGACTGGTGCTTCCCACCCAACCCGGCGTTCACCGCTGGCCCCTGCATCCTGCCGCCCACCGCCGGCCCCGCCCACAGAGCGGTGCCCGCCCGGATCTGCTTGGCGGCGCCTCAGGCCGGTCCACCTCTTCGGAAGCGTTTCCGAATGGTCCGGGGCATTCAAGGGGATTTCCGTCCCGACTGCTGCTGCATCTACGCAGCGGCGGCTGCAGGACATTACCTCCACCTGCCGTTCTCTGTGTACGACTCCGCCCTCTCTACCTGCCCGGCCACGCCACACACCTCCTTCTTTCAGCTAGCCGGCCATGGTAAATTAGGCGTGACTGTCGCTGTTGGAAATCATCATGAGGAGGAGGAAGATGCGGAGGAGGAGGAGCAAAGTGAGGGTGTAGAAGATGACAATGAACGAAGACAAGAAGGTCCCTCTGTTGACGCTGAGGACAAAGTAAACCAGAAAACTAGGACTAAGACTTTGTTTGGCCACAATCATTTGAGGACAGAGGACGACGGCATGTCAGGAAATGTAGAAGAGGAAGACGAGGACGAGGAGGAAGAGGAGCAGGTTGTGAGACTTTGCCCGTGGGATTCAGAAACTGATCTTCACAGGTTCAGTTTCTGGCACAGCAGGGCTCATAGACAGTAACGAAGAAATACTAACATTTAAAAATAGATTGTTTCTCTTGGTAGTAAAATCTACCTGCTTTAGTTTCATCGATTCATCTTATAATCTGAGAGACGCGTTGAGCCAGATGGAGAGAAAAACAGTCACTTCCTGTCTTTTGGACTCGTTTCTGTTACTGTTCCTAAGAACACGGGGACACGTGATGGGGTCCCGAAGACCACGTGTGACGTGAAACTCACATTGCACTGTCTCCAAGACCATTTTCAAGCCCCGCAGCACAAAACTTAAAGATCTTGAACCGGGCTTTATTCTGGTGCAACGGTCCAGTTTTAGGACCCTAAACAAGCCTAAAAAAAAAAACTGTCTGTGTACGGTATTTGTATGCTTCTGTGTGTGTTTGCAGAAAATAATGTAGCATTTTAATACTTGATCTTTATTTTAGGGATGCACCGATACTGTGTGTGTACTTGTACTAGACAAATGTTCCATTAATGCAGTACTGACACCACTTTTAGGACAGAGTGATGTTCACCTTGGTGATAAAGGGGAGCAACGGCTGCCATGTGGAGGTAGTTTAAAAAAAAAAGTTTTTAGTTAGCTGTCTGGATCCAAACTCCTGGTGGCAGCAAGGCCTCACGGAGATGTTTTCCAACTACCATAAATTCATTCATTCAACCTTTATCTAGACGGGTAAATCCCATTGAGCCTCAAGGACTCATTTACAAGAGAGACCTGATTATAAAAACACAGAAGGGGAAGACTAAGTCATGTCGAGGTATTTCAAATTAAATGAATGAAAAGAAAAGGGCCCTGGGAAAATACAGATCTGAGCTTGAAAATCTTAACATTTGTGTAAGAGGATGAAGGCCTCTGTCATCTGCAGCATTGAGGTTAAACAGGAGATTCTAAAAAAGCACAAGAGCAGTGTTGGAGTTGTCTACTAGGCAAAACCGAGCTGGTGAGCTTATTTGTTGGAGAAAAATATTCTCGCTTTAGCTTACTGACTGAAAAAGAAACACTCTCAGGAGAAGATTTTTAACCACTATTTACTTGCAAGGTCAGATTTTCAGGACTGGTTACTTAAATATACATAAAGTACACACACGAAGACGAGTCACGAGAATCTGCCCCGAGCTGTCTTCTGAACTTCTATAACCTTATCAGTTCAGCTGAGTTCACAGAACTTGGTGTCCTTGGAGCCAGCTGCAGCCTCACGCAGCTCCTCACTCAGCTCGCTCTGCTAACCCAAACGTGTTTCATGGGCAGAAATAACGCACCCAGCCATAGTCATAAAAACAGTCAAAACTTCCCTAAGATTATTGTTTATATTTCAGCTTTTCATGACATTGATGTGAAGTCAAAAAGCCTCTAAATATGACGCCGGTGGTGATTGGTGAATGTGTGGGACGTAGTTATGTTATGTAGTTACGTTTACCTAAAAACTAACTCCCTGTGGCAGTAGAGCTGTTATTTCTAACCTGGGCCCGAAGCCCTGTCCGACCCGAATCGAATTCGGAGTGGGTCCGTGCCATGATAATGTTCTGGATGGTTGGATCTGTGTCGGGCTTTTCATTGCGTCAGCAGATCAGCCGCGACCCAATTATATGGCAACATGGCTTGCCATAAAATTCAGTTATATGGCAACATGGCTTGCCATACAACTCACCAGCCGCACGCGGACATTTCACTGTGAGCTGACCGACCTTGAAAGAGGTCAAATAAAGTTCAGTTGAGCTTCGGATGGGACTACTGCCAGGCAGCGATCCATCACCCAAATGGACGTTCATTCAGCCGCTGCGCTCAGCAGACGCATGCGGCCGAAAGCCCAAACAGGTGAGATCCCAAAGCAGACAGACATGTCAGAGCGGTCCGTGTCTGAATAAATCCGAATGCAGGCAGAAACAGGTTTTAATGTGCTTTGACGGCCATGAAAGGACAAACACCCCCTCAGCTCCGATCTTCTGCTCCTTTTATTCATCCACTGACTGTTAATAACTATAATCAGTCAAAGCGTAATTAAAAATGTCGGGGGTTCGCGTTCGGCCCTGTAATTACTGTTAATTCATCGGGTCAGGTGGGTTTTGGAAATGATGGCTACGGACTGGGGCCGGGTCGGATTGGATTTTTTTGCGCTGGAATACAACTCTATGTGGCGGCCATTGCTCCCCATTACCACAAAAATACCCAACTAAGAGGAGAACATCACACAGCCTGGAATGATCGTTATTTCCTTTTTTTCTGACGCGTGTAAAATCTGAATTTTCAGTATTCAAATCACGTGTTAGACCAAATGAAATTGGTAATTGGTGGTTTTACTCAGTATTACCGCAAGTAATCGTATCAGCAGGTGCTTAAGTTAGAAGATCGTTTTGGTGCATCCCTGGTTTACTTTAGTTAGCAGGTTGTACGCAGTAATGCGTTGTTGTTGATGTTGACGTCGTCTCAGGCGATGATGCGACTGTTCTGCAGCAGCCATGACCTGTAGATTTCACAAAACAATCAGAAAAAAACTGTTCAACAATTTAAAGTGCCTTAGTGTTCTTCTTGTTACACCTACGTGTGTGTTAATGTCATTCTGTTAGGATGTGGGTATATTGCATTTTTTATGCTTGCTTTGACTAAAACAAGACGCAGGCCTGTTGTTTGACAATGAGCTCCTTTAAAACATTTAAAAAAAAAATTTTTTTTTTCATTTTTAAATGCATGTTTTTAAAACACGACCAACTTTGAAGGTTGTAAACCTAAATCTAAATGTCCACAAGATCACTGTTGGTTCAGGTCGGCTTAAAAATGCTTTTTATTCATGTTTGATCCGTCGTCAGTAGGGGTTCACAAAAAATGAATCTGACAAAATAAAAGCATAACTATACAGTAAATTGTAAAAAAAATTAGTCAAAATAATCTGCTTTATTGTCACTAATGAAAATGTTGATAATTAATCTTACCCGTTGTAAAAAGCTTGTTGATCAACCTGGACCAAGACCAAAATGCCACCTTAAAACAGCTCAGTGCTTCATGCGAACATTTTTTACAAACCAAATTAAACTTGATTTCTCTGTAATGAGGTTGTTAAAAGAGCCATCTACAACAGGTAAGCTATTACTTGTTCATAACCACAGAACTTCACTTCAAAATTAACAGAATGGTTTGAAAGCACAAGATGTCCTGGCTGTAACTCATACGAGACGATGCCAATTAACCTACCAAAAAATCTATAAAACTACAATTATTGTGGCACTTTGTGCTCATCAGATTTAGTGTTTCTTGTTTTTGACACTTCTAATGAATTCATATTAACGGCAGAGCATCGGCCTGCGCAGCTATGAATTTTTATTGTTTAGAAAAACTCTTAAAAATATTAATTTGTGGTATTTTTTGTGACAAGTTCAGTTTATTTGGATTTAACGTCTCCCCATCTGCAGCAGTTGTCACAATCTGAGCAGCTGACCCTTTATTATTATTTTTTAAAATATATATAAATGGTAAAAATGACGATGCAAGACTTGTTTCTGAGGCAAAAACTTGTAACTGGATTTGTTTTTATTATTAGGAATAACAAAAGAGCAAATGTGCTCTGCTGATTCTGTGTGATGTTCAGTGATAAATGTACCAGTAAAAGGAATATTAAAGATGTTAAAATCTCCTGCGCTTCTTGATTTTACAACCATGTATTTTTGTTTTAGTGAGATTGCGATATTAAATATCTATTTGCAGGCATCGTTCTTGTAATTTCCGCTCCAGGTAACCAAACACCTTCACTTGTATCGATGCCATCGTTTAAATTCAACATTCCTTTGATCTGATATCTGTGCCTGTTTTACCAGATTGTTTCTATCTGCAGGGTTTGTGTGTCGTTGCCACGGGTTGTTTGAAAGCGGCTGTGATCCGGCAGAGTGCGCGGTGCGAGCGTGCGTCGGCAGGATGAAGCTGTGAAGTGTGGAGGTTAAATCACGAGTCTGAGCATCCTGACAGCTCTGGTGTGAGGTGAGGATGGAAGATGATCTCTTCTCGACACTTCTGCCGCAGGCTTGTGTGGATCCTGCTGCTCAGCCCACACACACACACACACCTTCCTCCACCTCAGATCGCTCAGTGTTACTTTCATTTCATGACACTATTGGACTGACACGGCAGGAGCAGCAAAATTCTAAAACGTCGATCCATTTTGAAGTCAACCCAATTCAAGACCGCTGTCACAGCCAACTCCCATTAGAATACATAAAAATGGCTGTAACTCGTTTAATTTAGCAGATATGTACCTACAATTTTGTGTGGTAGCACTTTACATTAACTATTGGAGTCAACCTATTTCATGATGGCCAACAACAAAGTTGCGCCCCCCTCCTGCAATTTTAGAAACCCTCCCACACTCTCGCAATGTTCTAAGCTCTTAAACCTACGTCACTTTAACAACATACATATATGTAGCTACTAAATTTTACCAGCTCTGCAGAACAGCAGCTTGGTTCCAGTCCGACTCTGTTCCGTTTCCCTGCTAACCCTGCTGGTTCTGGTCGGCTCTCTAGCTCGGGGTAGTAGGATGTAGGCACAGGTTAGTCGGCACCTACCCACTCGAAAGGCGTCATGGGCAGAGTGGTGCTCAGATTCTCCAAAGAGTCTGGAGGTCCGGGTCTGGTCCAGTTCCCGGTGGGTTCCCTGCGGCTCTCTGCGTCCGCTGGGTGTCAAAGTCACTGTAAAGGACTGAGCTTTTTCAGATCAGATCAAAACTTTCCCTCTACATATTTCAGCAGAAGGCAACAGGGCTTCTGGGCGGGGCACTGTTGGCTTCTGGGAAATGTAGTCCCTACGATAGTGTATGATACAGAGAGAAAACTACAAAATGGCGGAGCGTGTCCGAAGTAGTGATTTTTAAAAACTTTTTACTGTACAGTATCCTGTGCTGTCCCAAATTATTGAGTAATATTAAAGTTGGCAAATGTGTCATGTAAATTTTTTTATATATATTTTTATATTCAATCTTATTTTGAAAACTTGCGCAAGAGCGAGTCCGCGACAGTCTCACCGCGAAGTAGCGAGGGACTACTGTAACTCAAATTTTTGAACAATGAGCTAAAGTTTGTCGTTGAATTAGCTGAGAGTCGTCTTCAACACACAGTCCGAGCACAAACACGTCTCGCTGTTCCACGTGAGGTCATTTATAAGGTTCCTAATTTTTTTATTCTTTCATCAATGCTTCCCAAACTCAATAGCATTTTAACTGTTATCTAAACTGGCTGTAGGCATTTATGTCTTATTGCTAAATGTTTATTATTGGCAGGTAGTTTGTTGCTATTTTATTATGCATGTCAATGTAAAACTCTTCATACAGTAAAGTGTAACACACAATACTTGACAAAACAAAATGTAAAAAAGCTTGATTTGTCTTTGTAATTTTTCCACGTGTGATTTTCAGCATTCTTTACTTCTAGTTTTCAGCTGAGTATGTTTTGTTCTACAACATGTTTATAGTCCTGAGAAAAGCTCATAAATAACTCCTATTTAAAAATAGGGATGCATTAATCATTGGTGACGACTTTTTCACTTTAACTGTTGAGACTGGAGAACAGCACACCCTGAAATGCCTTACTCTTTTATTTATATATATATATATATATATATATATATATATATATATATATATATA